TAACGGTTTTCAGAAAATCAAGTTTTTCACGGTAGCCCCCGAATCAGTTTTCGCAAAATAAGTATTTTATTTATTTATTAAGAAAATTGCGAAAAATCGCGTACTCTGATGAAATAGTAAGTCGGGGTGTTACATCTAATCATTGTCGGCTCGACCTCGGTTCTTCATGAATGTCGGTCCCGATCTCTCTGCAGAGGTCGGTCGTCCTCGAAACTTGTATCGAGTATCATCAAGTCGATCTTCTTCCGAACCCTTGATAATTTGATTTTACGACAAATTCCTCACGTGACCCCTTCTAGCTGACCTAACAAGTTTGATTATTATCAACAACATCCTTAACAAAATTTAATCTCAAATAAATTGAATAACTTACAATTTTTTGAAGAATTTTTAAAACCTCAAATAATACCCAAAAACTTTTAAAGTCTCAACAAATCTGAAATAAATATCAAAATTTCTAAAATCTTAAAAAAAAAAAAAGTTAGAAATTCCAATTGAATAGGCCAAAATTAAAAAGCAAATGAGCCCTGTGAATAAGCCTATCCATGTCTCGCTCTGCACTGCTGCATCTTCTGATATTCAATGTCGACCCCTGAAAACCCTGGAAATTCCAGTTCCAACTCCGAAATGGAGAACAATCCAAACTCTGAAACCGACTCTACTTCCGGTTCACTGGGCACGGCCAAGCCACCGAGCCCATCTGCTGTTTGCCTCATCAGTTTCGCCGCCGACTCAGCCGGCGGTGCTGTCATGGGCTCCATCTTTGGCTTCGGTAAGACTTCATCATCCCCTCTCTCCAATGTACCCTTAACTTTATTTTTATCTTTATTCGCACTCGTCTGTTGATTGTTTACCTTTATCGGCTATTAAACGTAATGTTTGGTTCAATTGAGGGAGATGTTCTTATTGTTCTTTGATATGATTGTATTGTTTTTCTTAGGGCTTAATGCTCTTCTGGGTGTATAATTGTGTGTATCTGTGTATCTTTATTATTGCCTATTCCCTTTACTATTAGATGGCTCAGTAAGTTGTTCTATTTCAGCTTAATGCTATTATTGAGTTATGTGCTCTATTTTGTGGAGTTGGTTATTACTAGTCTGCTACTACATTGTATGAATAGCTTTTTAGAGTTCTCTTCCGCTTTGATCCGCCATCAGTATTGTTCTCGTGCAAGAGGCATTAAGTTGCGAATTGATTACGGGTCACCACAAGTAATTTGATGAGATTCTCATGGTTAGAATTACTTTGTTCTGTGAACAAAAAAAAGGTCAAGAAAGTGTAAAACTGTCAAAGTTCACTATTACTCTAATATTGGGAATGTATATATGGAAATCAGGTGCTGGATTGATTAGGAAGAAGGGTTTCAAAGGTTCGCTTGCGGAGGCGGGGTCTTCTGCCAAGGCATGGGATATTCACAATTACACATACACACAAATACTTATGTATCCTCCTTACTTGTTGATTAATGATCCCTTTATATGGATGATGGATTTGATCACCCCCATTCACCTGTAATGTTGAACAACTTCCTATTTTTCCACTCATCCTTGTAGACATTTGCACTTTTCTCGGGCGTGCACCGTTTAGTTTTATGCTTTTTGAAGAGATTACGGGGAAAAGATGATGGTACAACTTTTTTGTTATTTTTCAGTAATATATTTATATATACTTTTTTGCTGACTAGCTATCTCTCTTTCTCTAGCCATAAATGCAGGAGTGGCTGGATGTTGCACCGGACTTGCTCTAAGCGTTCCTGGTATTCCCACCTGTGTTCTCTCTGTATCTTCTTTAAGGACAATGATTGCTCCTTTATTTTACAGTTTTATTATATATAAATAATTATTTTTGTGTATGTCTTAAGAACTCCCAAGTCTTGAGATGGTGTTTTGAGCTTATGAATTGTTCAAAAGAATTTCTGAGACATTTTTGTAGCGACCGAGATATTTTCACTCTTAAAAAAGAAAGAATAAGCATATATATATATATATAATATAATCTAAATTTATATATTATTGGCTTCCACAATAGGATGTAGGCGCTTATAAGTTCTTAAGAAAACCTGAATTTTTTTGCATTGTAAACCTTGTTACTCCATTCTCCTTTAACTTGAGCAATTGCATTTACTAAACATAGTATCTTACAAGCTCTGTCATCCTATTTCATCCAAACACTTCAAAAAACTTACCTTTAAAATAAGCATTTAAAATATTTTAAGATTCAGTAACTCGGAAGAGTTCCACATCCATAAGCATATTTGTTGCAGTGGTATAATTTCAGAGCAGAGCATTTCTACGCTCCTCTCCTCGTCTTTTAAGATACTAAAATGGGATTTTATATCCAATTATTCTCCGCACACAAGAAACATAGCACCCAGTCTTTCTTTATATATAGCAACGACCAACTTCTCGTGGTAATTTCTCATGAATGCTGCATGGATGCTGAAAATATTATGACTCGCAAATGTTGTTTATCGTGTGCAGGTACTCCACAAAATCTGCTCCAAAGCTGCCTGGCGTATGGGGCTTTCTCGTTTATACTCGAAGGTCTTAACAAGCAACAACCAGCACTTGCTTCCCCATTTGCAATGAGTGTCAAGAAGCAACACTATGGTGTGCTTCCCCCTTTGTCACTCCCTCTCCCGAATGAGCTCAACGAGTCGTTTTCATCATTTTGTCGTTCCTTTAGAAAATGACACACCTTGATGATATATCTTGTAGTTGTAGTTGAGTGTGTTTCTTTTTTCCCCAACTGCGACTCATCCTTTATTTTTATTACTAGGAATTTCTTGGTTGTGCGATGCACAACCGGCCCATAATCTCAAAATATTTATGTCTAAAGATGATATTCCCAAATTCTAAATAGATATATTTGAAGTTGCATCAAAAGACCATCGAACATAAACAAATTAGTTGTCATTGAAAATATTTTATCCACTTTAACAAATCTTTAAAAAAATCACCTAAAAACTTTCTCTCTTATCATTATCTTTAAAAATGACCCATTAAGAATTTAAACACTAAATTTAAAAGGATTAATATATAAGATGATTACACAACCCATAAAAATAGTAATTTAGAAGTTTTAAATTAAAAAGACATCTAAAAAGAAACATATGGAGTATTTGTTTTCCTTGTGTAATTAGTTTGGGAACAGAGGCCGCAAATTATCTCAATTTTCAGCATGTATGGGTTCTCAACATATTTTGTAATGGATAGAGATATCTACCCGAGGGTGTTATAATTTTATAATAATATTTCATTATTGTGAAACAATGACTTACACCAATTTCCTTTTAAAGCCGATATGTTTGTATTTTCAAAATGGATAATATACTTGCAATAAAATAAATTATAATACACTAGTTGACATGAGATGAGATGAAATGGATGGAAGACAACAAATTAATTTAGGTAAAAAAAAAAAAGTAGTTCCTCATATTTTCGAACATATTCACGTTTATGGTCGATGAGATATTTTTCCAAACAAAAACGAAACGTCTAGCAAGTAATAAGAAATATTTAACATTGAGAGAAAAACATCCCAAAATTGCACATGAGAGAGCTAGTAATGATGCCATGTTGTGTGAAAATAGGAAAATTAAGTCCCTTTAAAATAAGTTGAAAAAAATAAAAAATCAGCCTAATAAATAAAAATAACTTACCTAAATAACACAATGCAAACTGATATTCTCATGAAACCGTACTTACTGAGTAGGGACCATGCAAGGAATTCCCCCAATGCCCTTTATTAGACTTGGTTTATCGGTGACCCAACCCAATTGGGTCACCAGAAAACACAAAAAATAATAATAATAACAAAAAAGCGAAAGTAAAAGATAGTTGCCGACCCAAGTCACATGGTGACTCAAGGTCGCAACCGAGCGTTTGAGGATTTTCAGTTTTTTTTTTTAATTCAATTATTATATATTAAAAAAATAATGATTGAAGACTCTTGATAAGATAAGAGACATTAAATAAATTGATAAGATAAAATAAATTGGTCCATACCTTTAAATTAAATAATTGAATTAATTATATATTAAAAATATAATATCAAAATTTGTATTTTTTCATTCTCTATAAATAGAGACCACTCTTGATATATTTTAGATCACAACTAAAATTTCTCTCTTTTCATCCTTTTCTTAATTATAAATTTTTTAATTAATGTATCACAATTAAAACAATAACAAAAAATCTATTGTATATAATATTTATAAATAAAAATAAAAGAAATAGTATGTTGGGTTGGATTGGGTTGGGTTGGGGATAAAGATATGTAGGTTGTTAAAAGTTGAGGTTGTGTAGGTGCAAGAGAGAGAAATAATTTTTTATTATTGGGTTGGGTTGGGTTGGGTTAGGATAAAGATAGTCTTAGATGTATAGGGAGACAAAGGAAAAAAAATAAGCCCTATAAAGGCCCAAAAGAAAGAAAAAAAACAAAAAAACAAAAAAAACAAAATGCAGAGGAACAATTGCAAGGCGGCCACGTGGTGCTCATGAAGCCCCTCAAACCCGCAAATACTTAGGTGCACCCTGACATATTTTGCTAGGTGTGTCAAGGCCTTTTGTGCAATATATCCTCTAAAAAACGCGTGAGGTAAAGAGGTAAGCCCATTCCAAACTAGAGGTGATTTGGAAAGATTATGGCCATACAAATGGAAATCTAGAATTACCTGAAAAACTAGATTTCAAACACATAGTCGAAAAACTCAAGAGCGGAATAAAATTCCAATCTCTGACAGAGACATTCGGATAAATTCGAATAAATTCGTCAGACCTATTCATAGCCTTAGCGGTAGCTTCATCGACTACCATACCCAGCATTCTTGGTAAGAGCTCCTTCTTCCGCGGTAACTAAGCTTCACTAAATTACATCTATCCTCATCCAAAAGTGAACTTCAAAGTGACTTCCTCAAGCCCAGCACCCGACTTCTTGTTGTTCGGTAGATCGGAATCTCATAGAAGAGATTTTTTTTTTTAAATGGGACATGTGTCCCATTTATATTGGGCAATGAAATTCATATATCATATTATATAAATTAAATTATCATTCATATTTTGATCAAAAAATAAAAATAAAAATACCAAAATTAATAATTTTTTATTCTCTACAAATAGAGACCACATTTGATATTTTTTGGAACACAATTAATTTATTTTATTGGAAGATTATAACATAAATCTATAATTAGATTAATACTATGTTACATAGTAATATAAACATGTTATAGAGTAAGATGAACATGTCATAGAATAAGATGAAAATGTTACATTTTCACAGATGAAATATAGATGAACATGTCTAAAATAAGATGAACGTGTTACATAATAAAATGAACATGTTATAGAATAAAATGAACATGTTACATACACAATAAGGTGAACATGTTATAAAATAAGATTAATATGTATTATTTCAATCTGCAGTCTGTAACATGTTCATTATATTTGAAAACATATTCATTTTATTATGTAACATGTTCATTATATGTCAGTATAATAAAATAATTATAAAAAATCGAATAATTAGTTGTGTTAAAAAAACCTATCAAATGTGGTCTCTATTTATAGATAATGAAAAATTATGAATTTTGGTATTTTTATTTTATTTTTTTAATATAAATAATTAATGATATTTTAATTTATGTAATATGTCTCATTTTTCAATTAAAAAAGGAAAAATAGGAATGTGCACTACACTCTCCAAATTTTCTTATTTTTTGGGTGAGGGAGGCGCGTGCAAAATTGCCCTGGCACACCTAGCTAGGTGTCCCACGGCACACGGTAGTGCTACTGCCTCAAACCTACGTTTATTAAGATGTAGAGGAAATTATTTTATACAATATTTTGGCCCATGTCTCCCTATCTCTCATTCTTTTCTTAAAGCATATGATAAACTCGCTTGATCTCAAGTTAAAGGATACAGTGTCAATCTCCAGATGGATCACGAGAAATTTTGCATTTTTTTTCCGAACATCAAATATTATAAAAACCACTTCAATGTATAACTTCGACAAGCCAATGGACTAAAATTACCTGAAAAATTCGATAACCCTACACGACCAACAAGGTCTATCCCAAAGAAAAACTGAACAACCTAAGGAAAACAAACCCATAAAGAAAGAAACCAAAAGAGAAAATAAACACAAAGGACACACAACAAAACTAAGGCAAGACTAAGAACAAAACAACAACAAAGTCCAACAAACAATAATATGACCTTCAGAACTGTTAATATCCAATTTTGGCCTCGCCTATTAAAATATTACACGTGCATATGTATTATATCAATTGTTTTATTCTAGGGCCCACAAATAACACTGCTTGTAATAATAACGGCCCCACCAAAAATATATATATAAACCCCAATGATGGACGTCACACAGATAAGTCTGAGGGGCTATTATTACTTCTCTCCCTAATCCTCATTTTCTTTCCCTAACATGGAGAAACCTCATGTAAAAAGATGGAGCTTCTTCTTCAATTTCTCTTTATTGATTTACACAAAAATTACATACAAAATTCAAGAAATTCGACACATTCGATATACACGAACAATATTCTCAACACCCCATGTTGATACAAATCGCATATCAACAAGAACATCTATCCTTTCTGAATATACTTTAAGAATAGTATGTGCACAATTATTTAGGAATGCACGGTATACGCATAAAAGAGCCGAAGGAAAATCCGTAAGTTAGTTTCGTGCCAAAGTGGTTATTCGCTAATTGCTTTAGGTCATGCTTGTTTATAAAATTTTTCTAAACGAAAATCAATCTCTAACTCAAATTTAATCCAATCGAATTATCTTTAATATTATTAATATAATTAATTGCTATCAATTAGGGAGGGATCCATAATTTTTTTTTGGAGAATAGAATTACAATTTGAAATGAATTATTTGCGAATATAACTCGAATTGACCGTGAAAACTCGAGCAACCAGTTGAATTTGATTATTAAATGAATCGAGCTCAAGCTCACTTTTTTTTGTCGTTTATATAACGAGTCAAGCCAAGTATCCAACACATTTATTAAACAAACACGAGTTTGATTATGATGTATTTGTAACGCAAAATTTCGTATTATTAAATTAATAAACACGAGAACTTCGTACAAATGGATTTTCAATGGATCAAAAGAAATATAGTGGATTACAAATCTCTATTATTCCTCTGATTAATTTCTTCAAGATTGATCTTCAAATGGACTTGAGACTCTTGGAGATGAATCTTCAGTTTGATCTCCGCCGGTCTTGAATATAGATTTAAATAACGTTTCTTCGAGGGCTTGATAGCTTGATCTCGAATCGAACGTCGTGATTTCCCAAGAACGTAAAGAACACGAATCCTTGGTCTTCGCCGCAAAGTTGATTTTGATCTTCTTTACGCCGGTCTTGATTTGAATAACGTAATTCGGAGGCTTGTCAGCTTGTTTTCGGATTAAACGTCGGTTTTTGACTTGAATGCGCTTGAATCTTCCTTCGGATCTTCAAGAACGCCTTTGAATCTTCAAAACACTTGGAATTTAACAACGCAATTTGGAGGCTTTGCAGCTTGATTCCGGATTGAACATCGGTTTTGGGCTTGAACGCACTTGAATCTTTCTTCAGATCTTCAAGAACGCCTTTGGATCTTCAAGAACACTTGAATTTCGTGGAGAGAATTCTTTAGAGCTCTTGAACTTGA